CCCAAACAGCAGTTTTTATTGGTCCCAGGTGGTCCATCACCACTTCAAAGCCTTTAATGAGATGTAATGCTCAACAATAAGCTCTCCATCGTGAATGAAAGAACTGATGGCGAAGGTTCTTAGCTCATCTTAAACATTCGGCAGAAATCAAGCGCCACAGAGGAAGCGTATCACACGCCCTTCACTAGTGAGTTGTTGGATTTTCCAAACCTTGTAATGTCTCACGATAAGCAACGAAGGAGAACACACATGAGTAAGCATTCGCTCCTTCTCGCTTATGAATGCGAAGCCCAAATACTTCAAAAAAGTGGTGGCACTACAAACGGCTCGAACTTGTAGTGACATCTGTAAGGCGAAATGTGCGGTGTCGAGAGGGTGGTTATTTAGACAGAAGGTTTGATTAAGCCAGATTGTGGCATTTTTTTGGATTTTTAAGCTTGACAGTTGACATTGTATTCAAGTCTTCCCTAGGTGCCACTAAAATGCCTGCGCTGTGATTACTTAGACCTGATTTCAAAGCTTCCCGCCGACCCGACCGCACTGATTTGGATACGAAAACTGTCTACATCAGCAAGCAGTTCCTATCACTAGGAGGCAAATAGGTGTCCTGTTAATTAATTTTTTCCACTTATTATATAATATAATTACGAGATATTTATTGCGTAAAAGATAGTGCGTCTCGATAAACTTCCAACAGACAAATTCCATGTCGCTCCGACCGACACTCTTAAAGTGTAATGACATGCAAGCAGGGAACGCTTTTAAGGGAATAAAGTCTAGCCACGGACGAAAAATCCAAAGGATTAGCCAAGAGAGATCAAAGACCTTACTGTCCGCTGGTGGGAAAATCACTAGCTAATGCTGCGATCCAAAGCAGCAACACTTTGGTTGCCCAAAGCCTGCTGAACGAGGGGCGAGTTAATAAAACAAAGCCCAAAAAATTAGGACTGTATTTTAACCGTTAAAAAAAATTAGTTGAGGCAGTTTGGAAGGTGAGTCAAAAAAGACTGTTTGTCCATAATTCACTTCAAAAAAAGTTACATCCCGAAGGCAACAAATGTACATTTGATGAAAGAAGGATAGACGGAAAGGCTCAATCCGAAACGGACACTCACGACTGCCTTAGCAAACATCCATCGCCATGTCGAAGCGTTAAAACATGAGAAAGACAAAGTAAGTGTTACATCCTCCTGTCCTTTTCACATTCTGATGGCGAGAGAGCCTCAACATCTTCAAAAGAGGTTATTCTACCTCACCTCCGACCCCAGAGGATTCAACACACTACCATTCAGGTGAGACAACAGCAAATCTGAGAAAAATTGGTGCCCCCAAAAAAGTGACCATTTGGTAGAAACTACAGGTGGTCTGCCACGATGCCTGTAAAAACCGGTGACCGAAACTGCGCAGTTTTCCACTGGTAATGCATACTGCATAACTCCACCATTCCTTCTGGACGGATTTCTGCATTTTAAGGATAAAATTCAGAGGAGCGGCAACCTTTCAACCATTCTACAGTATTTCAAAAGAACTTTAAAATTTTTTTATCGCCCTTGATACCTTTCATCATACCGCGGACCACAAGTGAAGCTTTGTGTGAGGTCAAACTTGACGTCTAATACGGTCGATTAGAGGAAATATTCGATGTCATCAGGGGGGATACGTTTTATTCATATAAAATCTGTCCCCTATGCCATAATTGAGCCTCCTTGAAAGGCTTTCAGCAGCCTCGTCTCCGGAGTGACATGGACGAATTGACCACCACCATTTGGCACAACAGCTAAAAGAATCGCAACTAGTCTTGGCCCCGAAACCCTGAAGTTATTCTACAACTTTAAACGCTGACCTACATGCAACACAAGTCGATGCGTCAACTCATGATAGACAGATGCAGGAATGTACATCAAATGTATGTGACGCTTGAGATCAGTGTGTAAGGAGCGCCACAGTGAAGTCTCAGTTTCACGCCTCTAACTGTTTGATTGAGTGCAAAAAAGGAAAAAAAAATAGAATCCACATCTTAAAAACCAATCCGGTAGGGGCTGTTCAGCTTCGTTCTTCATCCTTTTTACACATCTTAGACACAAGACGCAATACCTCTTGTCCATATCACCAAATCGCCCTCCTACCTACCTCCTGCACTGACACAAGACTGAGAAGGCGACAACTGAATCAGACGGAGTAAATGAAATTTGAAATATAACTCAAATCCTCACCCTGTAGACCACACAACAGCACCTTCTTTGTACGCCAATCGTCCAATGATTTTTGTCCACTTAACAGCCTTTCAACCAATAATCGAGACGCATTGTCGTTCGCCCATGCTGATGGGTTATGATTCACGCACGCATGACTGTTGCTTTTTAATTGCTGGGCGCATGGTTTTAGCGCTGCCGCCTTTCTTCGTCTTCGTTGCCGCCTTTACGGATGACCTTCAGATGATTTTGCGAGGCAAAAGCAGCCTATTAAGGCTTTAGGCTGAAATGCTCTGTATAAATTGCATTATTAAAGACAGCCTCCGAATTCAAGGCGTTGCACCATTTT